ATCGGGCCGGGACTGAGTATATGGGATGGAGGTAGAGTTCGGAACCCCTAGAGGGCTAGAACAATATGCATGGGAGGAGTTTCCCGAAGGAGTAACTCGGAATGTTGATTGCTAGTCGAGCGGTCCGGATAGACTGAAGGCCAGTAGGCATACCAGTCAGGCCGAAGGCTCGGAGGACGGTCCATCTAGACTGAAGACCCTGGAGGGCGGTCCAGGTCTGCTGAAGGTTATGAGAGTGGTCCAGTCTGGCTGAAGGCCTGGTAAGGTGGTTATTGTTAGACCGGTTCGAGGAAATAGGTTGAGTATATCGCGATATGTTAGCATTAGAAGGTCTGGCCCCGGGTATTGATCTTGATTAGTGGAGGTAGTGCATAAACTTGAGAGTCTTCGCGAGTGGATTCAGAGTATGTATGGTGCATGGGATAACGGCTGTGCCATAAGGAAATGGTGTAGTATTGGGTGAGCATCGTGGCACTTGTGGTAGTGTCAGGGCAGCCAAGTGGATCTCCTTGGTAAGGAAAAAGGGAAAGGAATGTAGCTCCGAGAGGGAGTGTAAGTCACGGAAGTGAAATCAGTAGTGCGAAGTTATGACTGAAGTGTTACAATTATGGTAATTGCACAGTGTGTGCGGCGGTGATATGGGATCACATCCGGCTTGGATGTCTGCCGATGTCGGAAGGAAATTCCGAGGGTGTAAAGTCAAGAGGCTCGTAAGGGATGCAGAGATGGAGTCCTGGATTCCCAACTCAATTTTTGGTTAAGAAATTGTGTATGCAGTGGTAATTCATCCTGGGGGATGTTTGGAGGTGTTGTTAGTGTATCGGGCTTTCCAACCCGAGGATGCTAGAGTCAGTTCAACATGGGTATGAGATTGTGGAGAGGGACTCATGAGAGTTGCTATGAGATTAAGGGATGTATCATCCTGTCAGCATAGAGTGGGTAAAGTTGAATTCAGAATGGGATTCTGGTGGTTCAGGGATTATCTCTAGCTCGTATGAGTCAAGTGAGTGTTGTGACTTGGATTGAGCGAAGTATCATGGAGGGGTACTCAGTTGTTAGGTGTGGTTATCAGAGGGTAAAGCCGGTGGCCGGCTTGTGACGGTGGTCAAGACACCGCGAGAAAGGAGAAAGTGAGTTTCTGGTTTCTATGGTTGTGCTTTGTGGAACCTGGTTGGGTTAATGCCAGGAGTTGTAATTCGAGAGAATTTCTAGAGTTGAGTTGCCGCAGGCTTCGAGGACGAAGCCTACTTTAAGTGGGGGATATTTGTAACATCCTGGAATATCAAGAGTAGAGTTGAAGGGCTAAAAGTGAAAATGTATAAGGGCAACTCGGCGAGTCCATGGGAGGACTCGGCGAGTAGGGTCGCGACTCAGGTCGCGTGTTAAGTGGCCAACTCGACGAGTCCAAGGCTAGACTCGGCGAGTAGGTTTTGTGTGAGGAAAACCCTAAATTCGGGGGATGAGCCCTATATAAGGACATTATACCCTCTCCCCAGCCTCCTTACCTTCCCTTGAAGTCCAAAAACCCTAAATACGCGTTTGTGAAGGTTTTTAGTGCATTTGAGCCTTGGAGAAGAAAGTTGGAGGAAGATCTTGGAGAGTTAGGAGGCTTGGAGCAAGGGGCTTTGCTTAGATTCGGATTCCTTGCTGTTGGGGGCTTCATTTTGAGGTAATATCTCGTTCTTGGGTTGTGTTCTTCTAGAGTCATCATTTTGGGGTTGTCTGGGAAGCTTAGATTGTGTTATCTTGAGTTTGAAGGATAGATCTGAGGTTGTTACCTCAGATATGAAGTGGAGAAGGTCTAGAGTGCATTAAAGTCCCTGTTATTGAGTGATTGGTGAAGCTATCTTTTCCCAAACCCTAGCCCTAGAGTGTAAAATGCCTAGATCTCTTTGGATTCACGTAAAGTTTGCCACTTTACGTGATGGATGGGTTGTATAAGGGTAGATCTATGTTTTGGATCATCTGCATGGCTTGGAAAGCTTCTGCATGGGTTAAGATCTAGTGGTACTCGGCGAGTCACAAAGGTGTACTCGGCAAGTTGCTTGAAGATGGACTGGAACTCAGCGAGTTGGAAGAACAACTCGGCGAGTAGGTTAAAGATAGCCTCGGACTCGGCGAGTCTGTTCTTGGGAGTCTGGTCGTGAGGTCCTAATATTCTTTTGGTTGAGTCATGAATCGGCGAGTCAAGGGAGGACTCGGTAAGTTGAGTGCGAGGGGACTCAGAGTTGTGAGACTCAGCGAGTCTCGGTGTGACTCGGTGAGTTGAATCGTGGTTTAGGGAAGTTCTGAGCATGGGGACTCGACGAGTCATTAGGTTGACTCGACGAGTAGAGTCAATCAGGAGGATGAGTTTGACTTTGACTTTGACCAAGGGTTGACCAGTTGACTTCCAGGGGTAATTTGGTATTTATTGGTATTTATTGGATTCAGTCTTTTTGGGTATTGACAGTGGTGGAGTTCCGGTCGGAGGTTGCAGCAGCGTGATCTTATCCTTTTCAGTCAACAGTTGCGAGGTGAGTCATCCTCACTATATCGACAGGGTCTAAGGCACCAAGGCTGGCCCTTTATCGGATTGAGATCCGGGTAATTGTTGTTATGTTATTGCTTTGATATGTCTGCATCCTGGTAGCTAGGATGATATATGTTAGATACCTGGTTAAGGTCGGTTTCCATCAGATATATAGGGTGATACTATGCTAGTGACCGGTTAGGTCGGTATCCTGGTTAGGATGATGATATGTTATGTGATCTGTTTGATCGGCTTGTTGACTGTGAACTCTTATATGATTGTATGTTTATGTGCACATGGTTGTTTGGACTGGAGTTGGGTTGAGGCGTGTCCTGCTTTGTGCTGTAGGCCAAGATACCTAGGGCGGACCGGTTGTTCCGAAGGCCTAGCGAGCGGTCCGGATAGGCTGTAGGCCCCACGAGGGCGGATCAGACGTGCCGAGGCTCGGAGAGTGGACCAAGCCAACTGAAGGCCTGATGCGGGCGGACCAGTCATACTGTAGACTCAGAGAGTGGACCAGGTGGGTTGAAGGCCCGGTGCGGGCGGACCAACCACACTGCAGACTCGAGGGACATGACTAGACACGAAGGGTGGATCCGGTGGACTGTTGGCCGGTGCGACGGACCAGTCACACAGCAGACCCGATATGCATGGCTGTTCTGTGATTCGATATGATATAGCATGTTATGTGTATGGTATATGTGGTTGGTATTTTAGGGGTATCTCACTAAGCTTTCGGGCTTACAGTTGTGGTTTAATATTTTTCAGGTTCTTCAGGAGACCGTGGCAAGGCAAAGGCGTGATCGTACCGCTCATCGTGTTTATGTTTTATGATATGGACCTGGGAATACTCTGATAATAAATGTATTGAAAACCTTTTTGTAATAACTTATGAATTAGGATTTTTTTGAAAAGTTTAAATTTTGTTGAAATTTTTGGTCGTTACAGAATACCTTGAAACCGTTATTGGTGAACCCCACTACCTCCATATAGGACGTCACTGATTGAATCGTAGCATAAAGAAGGTCGACGATCTTCAAAAGGAAAGAGTGCAGATGAGCAAATTGTTGACGACGATACCTGGTTGGGATAACGATGGTGTCGTCTCTTCTCTTAAGCACAAACAGTGGAGAAAGAGAATAGAGCCTGAATGTTAGAGAGTCATTGAATACAATGAAACAGTGAGAATAAAACTTTATATAAGAAACAGGATTCGACCTTAGCCGAAAGAAATCAAAAAAATCGCAAGTAGATGACGAATTAGTGACCTTGTCGATGAGTTATGGTTGTGGTGGTTGAGATTGGTGCTGCCGACGCCGTTGATTTTCCTCCATGTCTAACATGAATGCTCGTAGGGTTGTGGTTGCTGGCATTCATAGCGACTGAAGAGAGAAGGTGGAGGAAGAAGCAAGCGGTGGAGACATCGATTAGAGGATGGAAAGATCAGAAAATATGAAAGCTCGTAGGGTTGTGGTTGTCGGCATTCACAACAATTGAAGAGAGAAGGTGGATTAAGAAGCAAGTGGTGGAGACATCGATTAGAGGATGGAAGGACCGGAAACTAAAATGTTAACTGTAAGGTGATGGAGGAATAAGGCAAAGAAGAAGTAGTAGATTAGAGTATAAAGATAAGGCGGTGAAAGATTCTAGAAGTTGAAATAAAGCGATGGAGAAGACACTAATCTCATTTTCATTGGTTAGACAGGGGGGTGGAATCATCGGAAAAAAAATCTCCATCACAACAAAAGATTAAAAAAGAATAATAAAAATGTTCAATATGTGAGTAGGTTTCCGATTAATAAAAAAAAAAGTGGTTCAATATTGTTACGTAGGACTTCTAAATTAATCTGTGTCTAATATGAATGCTCGTAGGGTTGTGGTTGTCGGCATTCACAGCGACTGAAGAGAGAAAGTGGAGGAAGAAGCAAACGGTGGAGACATCGATTAGAGGATGGAAGGATCAGAAACTAAAAGTGTTAACTATAAGGCGATGGAGGAATAAGGTAAAGAAGAAGCGGTAGATTAGAATATAAAGATGAGGCGGTGAAAAATTCTAAAAGTTGAAGTGAAACGGTGGAGAAGACATTGATCTCATTTTCATTGGTTAGACAAAGCGGTAGTGGAATTAAAAAGAAAAAAAAAATCCCCATTACAACAAAAGATTAAAAAAAAATAGTAAAGTGGAGAATACTGTTACCTAGGAATTTCTAAATTAATCTATTATTATAATAATAATAATAATAATAATAATAAGCTTTGCCAAACACGTTTCCCAAACCCCATCGAAATAATAATAATAATAATAATAATAATAATACCAAACACGTTTCTCAAACCACATCGAACTATCATGTAATCTAGTTAAAAAAAAAAAAAAAAAAGATTATAAATAAATAAATCAATAAAACCAATAAAATAATGCCGTGTAAAACGCAATTATGGTGAATGCATATGAAGTATTTTGATAGAGAAGAAGGATCAGAGCCCTATGAAATCATCTTCTATTCCCCATTCTACAGGTAATTAATTGGTCCTTAAAAAATGCACAATCTCTTCTTCTTCTTCCTCCTACCTTTTCTCTTCTGTAATTCCTCCGCCGCGTTAGGAGAAGCACCTCTCACCGGCGGTTGGAGGCCAATTCCGAACGTAGCCGCGCCTACAGTCGTCGACATCGGGAAGTTTGCGGTTGATGAGCACAACAAGAATGACCATACGTCTCTCAAGTTCGAAAAAGTGACGAAGGGAGAAAGCCAAGTGGTCGCCGGAATGAACTACAAATTGACAATCACGGCGGAGGACGGCAGCGTAAACAACAATTACGAGGCGGTTGTTTGGGTTAAGCCTTGGCAGAAATTCAGGCAACTTGTGTCCTTTAAGGGACCCGTTTGAGGAAAGAATTTAGGTTTTCTTAATAGTTTTGCAATATGCATTTTGTGTGTTTTTAAATGGCGATTTCGATCTGTATAACCAAATTAAATAAACAGAAATCGAAGGATGCATCAGGTCTGTATTTAATTTCATGAGTTTTTCTTTTGATCATGGTGATATTGGAAGTTTAGAATCCACACCATGGTTGCAAATTGGAAGAGAAACGTGAAGACCACCAAAACCATAGCCATGAATAACAGGAAATTGATCTGTATAACCTAATATTTCCAATAATATGACTTGATCCAACTACACAATTTTTTTTACACATAATGTCAGTGTATCTATGTTTGTTCACCCGCAATAGAAATGTGCTTTTATATTTTACTGATAATAATTTGTTCATCCACAATAGCAATGTGTTTGTATATTTTACTGATATCAACACATGACAAATATTAAATTTTTCTTTACTTATAATACACATGACAAATGAAGTACAATGCTCATATTGGTTGTGAGCATGAATAAACCAACAATAGCAATGTATTTGTATATTTTACTGATATCAACACATGACAAATATTAAATTTTTCTTTACTTATAATACACGTGACAAATGAAGTACAATGCTCATATTGGTTGTGAGCATGAATAAACCAACAATAGCAATGTATTTGTATATTTTACTGATATCAACACATGAATAAACCAACAATAGCAATGTATTTGACAAATGAAGTACAATGCTCATATTGGTTGTGAGCATGAATAAACCAACAATAGCAATGTATTTGTATATTTTACTGATATCAACACATGACAAATATTCAATTCCATTTCCAACAAACCAACAATTAACAATCATCTACATAAATAAATACTACAATGAAAAAAACATATATAAATACGTTGCTATTAATTGTCATTCAACTAATGAAATTATTTTACAACATATGTCGGTATATAAACGATATATCACTATAATTGATGAACCACATTGAACCAGAAACACATAGAAGTGCGTGCATAAATGACACGGACTTGCTGCAATGCGAGTGTGCCGCTAGTCAAAACAGCTTTCGCACCGCCCATGATTCGAGTTTGGGAAACCGATACACTATCGCCGCCAGTTATCTTGGCGGCAGAAGGCGGTGGTAGTGGTGGTTCACAGCCACTACCGGCAGTGGTGATAATGGCATAGGAGAGATAGTCTAAAGGGTTGGACTCGCATTGGAGATTACAGTCTTCGATTATCAGTCTACCGCTTCTGTGAAGCAAACAGCAGCCAAGTTCTGCTTTTACGGTTAGGTTTGCCAATTTGCACGTTGATAGAAACTCCAAAGCGCTGTAAATAAATGCAAGAAATAGCAATGTACTTTCAGTTATCATATTCCTTTTTTTTTTTTTGTTACATCTACCTAATTATAACATTATACTTTTCCATTTTTTTTTTTTTTTTTTTTTTTTTTTTTTTTTTTTTGCTTTACTGTTTAGGAATCATATTTTCAATTTAGTCTTGGAGATTAAGAAATTACCTTAAAATTAAATTTCGGCTAGAAAAAAAAAAAGATTAAATATACAAACCTGTCAGATCCTCGAGAGCATAGGAGAGTGGTGTCATCAGGGAGGTCACCTCCTCCAATCTGAAGGATTGAATTATGCAAAAATGGTAATGTTTTATGGTGGAAAGATAGAAGGGGCAGATATAATACAAATACAAATCTATATCTATACATAATCCTACTTTCATTTCTTCCTATTACAACTTTGTACTTTAAAATATCTACCGACAAATAAAAATGTTGTCTGAATACAAAGCAATTTTTTCTGCTAAATGTGAGTAGATTTTTCAAAGTATGATAAATAAAGTGGAAGTAAAATGATATATATGGTTGAACTTTCAAAGTACAATCACTTGCTAAGAACTTTTTTTTTTTTTTTTTTTTTTTTTTTTTTTGTATAATGATGTGAAATAAATAAATGAAAGAAAGATGCTAGAATAAAAATATAAATGAAAGAACGTTGTTGTTTCTTGCATTTACCCCTATAAGGTTTATAATAAGGTACATACGTCATAACTACAAATAAATTAAAATAATTAAAAAAGTGAAAGCCTATGTCTCTTTTAATTTGGAATACATGGATTTTATATGCATGGGACTTTTTGAGTTCATCAATTGTATATATATTGTGCATATGATAACAGATGTAGATATAAGATATTTGTTAAAAGAGGAAAGGGGAAAGATTCCTAATGAAAGTTTGAAAAATTACATAACATACCAAGCACAGTGGTTTTTTTATTTGAATATTTGAAGCAGAATGAAACCCTCCTGCTCCAATCAATATCGTGTCCCCTGGCCTGAGTGGTTATGACAAGTCTGAATTAATATTTATGAAAATAAAAACCCTATTTGTTACAAGGGACTGAGATCGATCTCTCATATGCGCAAAAGACATGAATGCCCTCCATATCTTCATTGTCAGTAATAACCCTAGAAAGCTTGTCAAGTCCCATTGAGTTCCATCTTGTGTAACAAATGCAACATACATGAGACAAGACTGGACCGGACAAGCTTTTTAAGGCCATTTTCGATGATGAGGATGAAGAGGGCGTTCTCATCTTTTGCACATAAGAGAGATCGAGAGCGAGTCTCTGTCCCCCACCTTGATTCACCTTTTTTGGATGTGACAAAAAATTGTAATTTGTCATATTGACATCAGTCTTAGTCTCAGTCTCAGTCTCGGTTCCAATCGAATGCATGTCAAACACAGTAATCAACAAACTACAAACCTTGCAGCAGAAACAGCTTCTTCGATGCTTGGAAAGACGCCAGGTTCTTTTAACCCTTTGACCGCCCGGTCAACTCGCAACCAAAGGCCAGGATGACACGCCAAGAAAAGCCATCTGTGGCAAACGAGGGCTGTGTTATACCGATCTGCAAACTCAACATCAATATGTGACACCATATGAAATCATATTTCTGCATATATTCAGCAAAAAATCTAACATTATATATTAAGCCTACTTTTATTTACTTTCATTATACTTTTTATTAAGGCATTGTACATTGAAAAGTCTATATGTACCTTCACATTTTTCTTAATAGGATATTATACCTATGTAATTGTAGCAAGTGAGAATTGCTTTGTATTTAGGTGACATTGCTATAATTGGGTATGTTTTGAAAGTACAAAGTTGTAATAGAAAGAAATGAAAGTAAGATGATTTATAAACAAGTCAATGAAAGTATGTTGCTATGTTTGTCATTTAACACTATTAATTATTATACTTAAGAGTGTGAATGTCACACAGGTACTGTTTTCAGTATATATATATATATATATATATATATTCATGATTAATAAAGTTAAAGGTCTAAAGCCTATATATGACTTAGTTGTGCAATGGAATGATTAATAAAGTTAAAGGTCTAAAGCCTATATATGACTTAGTTGTGCAATGGAAAAGCATAAACAACTGTTAAGAACAATTAGGAAATGGTTGTCATAGAAAAAATGCTAGAAGTTTTAATTATCAAGAAAACTAAAACCAAGTAAGCAAGCACACAAGTAACTTACAAATGTTTACATCATGTTGATTAAGGTGCTTACAATAGGTGTAACATTCTTATGGATGTGCCATGTCTAAAGTCTATAGGACAAAGGATGTAATGCACATAATTCATCTATAAATAACAGCCATGTTAATCATTTTTCTTCATCCCAAAACTAAAATCATTCTCAAATAATTAGTAGTAAGTTGAATGTTTTAGAAGCATAAAAGTTCAAGCCAAAGCAAAATGAGCACTTATGTGATTTAATGGGATGCATACATGCTATATTTGTTGTATACTACTTTGTGTGTTTTATTGCTAAATGTTTTAAAGACATGTTTTAGTATGTTATCAAGATAGCATGAAAGTTTTATATATGTTAAGTTTGGTCATTTAAATTACCCATCGTATGGGGTATTGTATGAAGGGTCATCTTGCAAACGGACCTTATAGGACAACTTTATATGGACCCAAGGTTAGCTAATTTCTCAACAGTTTTGCCTACTTACATGTAGCTATGATATCTCGAAAGAATATTTTTAAGCATGTTTCAAGAAAGGATGCATTGATTGTTATTTTTGCATTAAATGTTTATGCTAAATAATCAAAACCATAACTACTCAGTAAGCTTAAAGCTTACTTATTCTTATATGTATCTCAGGACACGAGTAAGGGACCACATGAAGTAGTTTCTATTTTAAATGAATAAAACTGGGTGTAGTATAACATGTTAAAATAGTACTTTATGTTTTTCCACTTGTCAAGTTTTCTTGTATGAACCTTTGATGAAATAATGATGTATCACTTAAAAGATATTCATTAAGGGGCATAATAAAGTTAAATGACGGTACCCACAGGATCGGGGCGTCACACGAATCAACCGATGTCAATGGGACAAAATTGTAGGACGGGACACCCTCTCGACCTCGTCTGTGCGAAAGACGTTAATGCCCTCCTTATTCACATCATCGAAAATAACCATAAAAAATTTGTCAAGTCATGTCTAATGTAACAAACACAACGTAATTGCCACTTTGAAAAGGCATGTTAGTAATCTCTAGAATTAATTGTTTCAAACAAAAATACTATTTTGATAACTTATGCTATACCCAAATTTTATTCTTTTGAAATAGAAACTACTTCATGTGGTCCCTTATTCCTTCTATCCTGAGATACATACAAGAATACATAAGCTCTAAGTTTAGTGAGTAATTATGGTTTTTGTTATTTAGCATAAAATATTTAATGCAAGAATAACAATTAATGCATTCTTTCTTGAAACATACTTGAAAACATTCCTTTAAGATTTGATAGCTACATATAAGTAGGCAAAACTAATAAGAGGTTAGCTAACCTCGGGGTTCTTAGAAGTTGTCCCATAAGGTCTGTTTGCAAGACAACCCTTCATCCTATACCCCGTATAGCAACTAAGCATGACAAAATAGTATATAACAAACATAGCATGTATACATCCCATTAAATCACATAAATACTCACTTTGCTTTAAGTTTGAACTTTTGTGCTTCCAAAATATTCAACTTACTACTAATTAATTGAGAGTGATTTTAACTTTGGAATGAAGAAAAATGCTTAATATAGCTGGTTATTTATAGGTGAATTATGTGCATTACATTCCTTGTCCTCTAAGCTTTAAACATGATATATTCATAAGAAGGTAACACCTATTGTACTTGCTTTATCTTATCTCTTAAGAAGGTTGCACATCATTTCCTTTAGCCTTAACTAGTCATCTTATAGCTTAACGAAAATCTGGACAGCTTGTACATCTACTTATAGAATCTAGTTATAGGTTTACTTGGACACCAAGCTATGGATTCTATACTTAAATGACTTGTTCTTATGTTGTCAAATCTTGCAAACACCTTAATAAACATGATGTAAGATCTTGACAGCTTGTATGTCTATGTATAGATACTATGTATAGGGTAACTTGGGAACTAATTTTTGTAATGCTATGCTTGGGTGACTTGTTCCAATGCTATAGAACTTATAAAAACCTTAATAAACATGATGCAAGCATTTGTAAGCTACTTGTGTGCTTGCTTACTTAGTTTTAAATTTTCTTATCTAAAAGACATGCATATTTTAATCAATATATTAACAAAAAAATATGTAGAGAATCGATTGGCTGGTGACACAAATTCTCTGGTCTCCACCTATATAGAGATTTATACTGATTTGAAAAGATTAACACGGACTTTAGTGTCTTTATGGAGTTAAGATACATTTCTTGGTAAGTACTATCAAACTTACTTATCTGCACAACATTTTTGATGTGGCTGATAGGAATCATACACCAAATACATGCTCAAATGTTGTTGATAGCATGGAAACGAACCCTTACCAATAATGAGTTTAGGTTTCAAGATAGTTGGTTTATTATAGTTATCGAATATGTGTGTCAGTATTAACTATTAAGTGCCAAATCATTACAAATGGAGAAGTAAGCATCAAAATTGCATTTATTACACATACAAAAAACTCAAATTCTTAAACTTCCAAAAAAACTGAAAACTCTTGTTAAAAACTCCCAATTTACCAAGATGCACAGCCATTAACAGAGATCTATAATATAAACTTTAACATGACTAGCATAACAAAATCTTCTGCCAATTCCATACAACTAATTCAGGTTAAAACTCATTAATTATCGATATGACAAGTGAAGAATGCGCGCTAAATTTGTCAATTAAGAAGTTGCAAAAGGGGAAATTGTTGCAACAGAAGCAGCAGATGGGTGAATTAACTAGTCGCGTAGGGAACAATTTGTTACAACAACAATAATGATGATAGATAATGAAAAATTAGGGTTTGTAACTGTAATAGAAAAGAAAGTGTACCTGGGATTGGAGATAAGAAGCTGAAGATATGCATCAAACAACCATCATCCAGATTGTTTACATGAGATAAACGAGAAGAGGAGTGCGTTGAGGAGCGGCTGCACTTTTGCTTGTTCTCGTCCATGTAAATCGGGTTTCCTCTTGGAGCGGTGGCGAAGAAGAAGCAACCACCGCCTTAAACAGTTTCCTTACGCCTGTAGTATTTTAGTGTATAACTAAAAAAATTTACAAATGACATCACTGTTTTTAATATTAGATTGATAACAATATAAGAAAATATTTACTTCAAATTAATAAATAAAATAGTTTAAATAAAAGGAAAAC